TATATATATACACACACACACATACTTAGGCTCTGGTACGAAGAAAGTCGCAGGTGAAACATGCAGATAAATCTTAGCCTTAAATTAACTGCTCTTTAAAATAAAAATTTGATACCTACGATCTTCAACAAAGTGCACCGGAAGGCAGAACAATGTGCTTTAGAAGGCACAACAATATGCATTGGAAGTAAAAAAAAATGTGCAGTAGAAGGCATAAAGATCTGAAACAATTATTGAAAAGACTAAATTTAATATGGATCTTCAACACAAATCATAAACGATCATAAATAATAAACGAGCAAACAAGATTCAACTCAAAATAGTAATTAGTGATCAAGATTATTAACTAATCTTTTTTTAAAAAAAGTTCACCATATGCGATTTTCAACAATGTGTTTTGTAAGGCTTAACAATGTGTAGTCCAAGGCAAAACAATATGCACTTCGAAGACACAATAATGTGCTCTGGTAGACACAACGATATGCTCTGCAAGGCTCAACAATGTGCTCTGGAAGGTCAACAGTGTGCACTGAAGATACATTAGTGTGCTCTGAAAGGCACAACATTGTGCTCTAGAGAGTTCAATATTGTGCTTTGCAAGAAGGAAAAAAAATACTCTGAAAGACAAAAAAATTAACTTACACAAAATTACCATAGTGTCATCGCGTTTTTTTTTTTTTTTAATAGTTTCATTCTAACCATTGATCTGGGTTGAATGAATGGATGAGGTATAATATTTCATTAAATAATGTAAATCTTTAAACATATACCACTAACCAAACACTCTCTTAGCGTTTTCATTCCGAATGATTTACCTTTTCATTCCAAGATTCAACTCAAAATAGTAATTAATGATCAAGATTATTAACTAATCTTTTTTAAAAAAAGTTCACCATCTGTGATCTTTAACAATGTGTTTTGGAAGGCTTGACAATGTGTAGTTCAAGGCAAAATAATATGTATGCACTTCGAAGACACAATAATGTGCTCTGGTAGACACAACAATATACTCTGCAAGGCTCAACAATGTGCTCTGGAAGGTCAACAGTGTGCACTGGAAGACACATTAGTGTGCTCTGGAAGGCACAACATTGTGCTCTGGAGAGTTCAATATTGTGCTGAGCAAGAAGGAAAAAAAAAATACTCTGAAAGACAAAAATTAACTTACACAAAATTACCATGGTGTTATGGTGTTTTTTTTTTTTTTTTAATAGCTTCATTTTAACCATTGATCTGGGTTGAATGAATGGATGAGGTATAATATTTCATTAAATAATGTAAATCTTTAAACATATACCACTAACCAAACGCTCTCTTAGCGTTTTCATTCCGAATGATTTACCTTTTCACTTTTGGTGTAAATTAATGCAACATTATTGCACTCAGGCAGCTGTTTCTTAGTTCATAATAGATAAGTAATTTAATGTAAAGCTAACGCTTTAGTCAAGCCAGAAATGGAAGTGGGGAAGCTCAATTATATTCCTCCGTCTGAGGTACTATGCATTATCAAATTTTGCTAAACATTGTTTTAAAATATTACGTTAATTATATTCTCTCGTACTCCAAAGAATATTAGCATTTTAGTATGAATTTTAACTTATATAAGAAGAACTTACTCAAAAAATATTCAAGTAATTGTCATGCTCGAAAATATGAACATTATTTTAGTATCTTATTTGGCTTTATAAATTTAAGGCAATTTACTCAAAATACAGTAGTTTCTATACTTGGAGAATATGAACATTTTCCTCTCGCTTTTGACTTTTATATATATATATAGAGGAAGGTTCAAGTGCGGCTGTGCACTTAGGTGCGGCGGTGCGGTTAATTGTAGGCCATTAGATTAGATAAATCCAACGAATCACATTTATCAAGGCTTTTTCGATATTTTCGCGCGCGTTCTCACAGTACGCGAACTGCAAGGTTAAAATCGTCATTGGGCACCAGAATATATCAAATCATAGTGTTGTGTGTTTTATGTTCATTATTGGTGCATTATTAACCTTACTGTGGTGTACTTGAGAATTCGTGTTGGTGCCTTCTCGAGCGGTCAGTGCGACCGCACTAATAGTTATACAAATATACACCATCCATGTTAGAAAATGCACACCAAAAAAACATGCACAAATTAGATACGCATCACCAGAACGCACCACTAGGTATGACTAAAAGCATCACACAGTGTTCAGAATACACCATTGGGGTGGTGAGTTATATGGTGTATTTTTTGGGTGTGTTGTGTGTTTTTTGGTGTATTTGTGCATTTCATTGTGGTGCTTTTTCCTAACACTATTGGTGTCTTTTGTTAACATTGTTGGTGTATACTGACAAGCGACTGATATAAATAACCACTACAATTACCATAACACCCCCCACTTACCAGAACGCGCTTAAATCTTTAAATCTTCAGAAATTAGCCGCTGCCGTTAGATTAAGCAGAATGGACGACGCTGATATGACCGCACCGCCGCACCTAAAGCCACTGCCGCATATGAGCCTTATTATATATATATATATATATATATATATATATATATATATATATATATAGATTAGTCAAAAAGTACCAAAGTAATTAGCATTCTCAAATAATGTGAGAATATAATTTTGGTACCACTTTTTGTCTTATACATATCAAATTTTACTCAAAAACATTCCATTAGATTAGTGGTCCACGGGTGTGTGTTGTCCACACAAAATTTATCTTGTTCAAAGTTCAAACACAATATGAGTTGAGAGTTGTGATACACATTTTATTTTATTTTTAATATGTTGATTGATAATTATTTTTAGGTGATGATATGTTTATTTATGGGAGCTGTAGTCCTGCCCTCAGTCTGATTGAAGATGCAGAAGAGTGAATTGATTTTCTTTCTAGCCATTGCTTGGACTCGCTATTATTACCAACATTGGATCGGAACTTTTCGAAAATTGATTTTTCTGAAATGTCTTTCACCTTTGTTTGGCTTCATGTGATGATTGATGTTAGCACATTTAGTTACGGTACTCAGACTGCTCAGTAGATACCAATATACCATCTAGGGTTCGGAGTTAGGTTTGAGGCAAAATATAGCTAACGGACTACCGTTAAGAAGCAATACAACAGGAACATCAACTATGGCTGGAGATACAGGGCTATCGCTTCCGCTCATACGAGGTCAGATCTCTCATATACTATTATTCAGTATTAGTTAGACTATTTAGATCTGACATTTGGTATCAGAGCCAGGTTAGATGGGCGATGGGTTGATGATACAAGAAGGAAGTTCTGTAAAAGCAACAGCAAGAATTGCTCAGATACCAGTGGGTGAAGCCTATTTGGGTCGTGTTATAAATGCCCTGGCTAACCCTATTGATGGTAGGGGCGAAATTTCAGCTTCTGAATTTCGATTAATTGAATCCCCTGCTCCGGGGATTATTTCGCGTCGTTCCGTATATGAGCCTCTTCAAACTGGGCTTATTGCTATCGATTCAATGATCCCTATAGGACGTGGCCAGCGCGAATTAATTATTGGCGACAGATAAACCGGTAAAACAGCAGTAGCCACGGATACGATTCTCAATCAACAAGGTCAAAATGTAATATGTGTTTATGTAGCTATTGGGCAAAAAGCATCTTCTGTGGCTCAGGTAGTTACTACCTTACAGGAAAGGGGGGCGATGGTTTTATTGATAGTGCATTTGGAAAGACAATTTTAGTAGTCTACCACTCCAATTGCTCTTCGAAGGGTCATTTGGATGAGTCCGCACGGACTTAGCTCACTAGTTCAGTAGATAATATTTGAGAAAAGAGACTAAAGTTCGAACCTCGAACAGATTTCTTGTGCGCACCAGCATTTGGCTATGTTTACTGAGCCATTGAATCACCGTGATTTACATCCTCCCAAATGTTTTGTTGGATCGGAAGTGTGGGGCCCTTGGGATTGAGGATTCAACCTTTATAGAGAAGGGTCATTTGGATGAATTTTGGTTGGACTGATTAAAATAGTGGATGTTCTAGTTAAAAAAAAAAAAAAAAAAAAAAAAAAAAAAAAAAAAAAAATCAACAAGATGGATAAAGGGAGTGTGGAGTGGTAAGATTAAAGCAGTCTAATTGCTTTAATCTTACTACCAACATTACGTTCTAATCATTCCAATCACGCATTCTCGCTATTATGACTCTATGTATTTGCGTCAGTTTATAACTTCTTATCCTACTCATCCTATAACTCTTCCCTGTATATATTCTCATTGTCTGTACTCATTGTAATCTCATATCATTCAATACAATTGTTACAATTCTCATCTGGTATCAGTACGCTAAGGTTTTCTTTCCTATGGCTGAAAGATCTGTTAACTCATTTGAATGGACCGTTTCTGATGCTACTATTTCATTGGTCTCTTCGACCGTATCTTCATTATCCACAGCTCACCACTTTATTAGTACCAAGTTAACATACAAGAATTTTTTGTTTTGGCATACACAAATCGTACCCTTCCTCTATGGGCACGATCTTTTGGGCTTCATCGACGGCACGAACCCCTCTCCGTCGGTGCTCCTTTCCTCCACCGACGATGATTCTCAACAGCAGCCGAATTCGGCCTACGCCGCATGAATGCGCCAAGATCAAGCTCTCCTCTCCATGCTTGTATCCTCACTCTCCGATGAGGTTATGCCTTTGGTCGTCGGTCGTCGGACGAGCCGTGCACTCTGGGCGACTATCGTGCAAGCTCTGTAATCATCTTCTCGAGCTCGCACGTTGAACCTCCTCGACCAGCTTCAGGGTCTGGATCAAGGGGACTCCTCAGTGGCGGATTATATCGGCCGGGCTCAAGTCATCATTGAAGAACTCACCCTCGCCGGTCAGTAAGCTTAGATGACCAAAACCTGTTTGTTTTCCGAGGCTTGCGACCGGAGTTCCAAGCATTGACGGCCTCTCTCGCCGTCCGTGGTCAGCTGGTAACGTTGCAAGAACTGGTTGACTTCCTTGGAGCGCAAGGGTTCATTGCTAACCAGGATTATGGTGGATAGCCGACAACTCTCACGGCTCAGCGTGGCGGCGGCAGGTCTGGTCGAAAGAACCAGAATTGATGTGGCAACCAGCGTGGTGGTGGTGGTACCTCTCAGCGTAGTGGCGGTGGTCGGCAGCATGGCGGCTGTGGACATGGGGGTCGTGGTCACGGCAATAGCGGAAGAGGAAATCAGGTTACATGCCAGATCTGCAGGTGCGCTAGTCATGAGGCGGTTGCGTGTTATAACCGCTATGATCCTCCCGCTCAAGCCAATTTAACTTATCAGAATAATGGTCTAGACATTGGTAGCCCTCAGTTGTGGATCCTAGACACTGGTGCAACCAATCATATGACTCCAGATATTGTTGCCTTATCTACCTCGGAAGAATATGTTGGTAATGACACCTTGCGTGTCCGTAACGGTATGGGTTTATCTATTAGTCATGTTGGTCATATATTTTCATACCCCATCTCGGTCTTTTAAATTGTCTAATATTCTTCACGTACCTAGTTTGTCAAATTCTTTATTATCTGTTCAAAAGTTTGCGTCAGATAATAAAGTATTCTTTGAATTTCACCCCTCTTTTTTTGTTGTGAAGGATATCACTACCAAGGAAATTCTACTTCGGGGCAATAGCTCTGGGGGCTATACACGCTACCGCTACCAAGTTCGTCTCCTTCAGCATTTCTTTCCACTCGTGCCTCTGCATCAATTTGGCACAATCGTTTAGGTCATCCTCATCATCGTGTTCTTAGTCGTATTCTACAGTCTTGTTCGGTTATTGGGTCTAATAGTATTATTCGTTGTAATAGCAATTTATGTAATGCGTGTCAATTGGGAAAGTCTTCCCGTTTTCCATTGCCATGTGTTGTGTTCTCTAGTTCGAGTATTCTTGATTTAATATACACAAACATTTGGGGTCGCTCCTTTATTATCTTCAAATGATTATCGTTACTTTGTAATCTTTGTAGATGATTATTCTCGTTACACATGGATGTTCCCTATGAAATTAAAGTCTGATCACTATGTTATATTTGATAAGTTTCGTATTCTTGTTGAACGATCCTTCAATCGCAAATAAAATCCATTCAGCCTGATCTAGGAGCCGAATAAAAAAAAAAAAATATATATTGCATGCTTCCTTTATCCAGTTAGGTATTCAACATAGGCAATCTTGTGCATATACACATGAACAAAATAGCCGTGTTGAACATAAACGCAAACATATTGTTGAAACTGGCCTAAAGCTCATGCCTTTGTTCCTTTAAAATTCTGAGATGTTGCTTTTGAGATTGCTGTATATTTAATTAACAAAATGCCATCCTCTGTGTTAAATAACTCCAGTCCTCATCTCATGCTGCATAAATCTCCTTCCTCTTATTCCTTTCTTCGTGTCTTTGGTTATCGGTGTTACCCTCACTTGAGACCATACAATCGTCACAAAATGTCATGCATGTCCTCTCCTTGTGTCTTCCTAGGTTATCCTAATTCCTTTGGGGGGAACAGGTGCATGGACTTACAGACTAACAAGATTTACACTTGTAGGCATGTCAGATTTGATGAAGAAGTATTTCCTTTTGCTACTAAATTTTCTCTACAGGAGGCACCACCTACTCAGACTGCTCCTTGGGCGGAATCTATTCTCCATCATGATGTCATCATTGCTGCGTCAGATTCTGTGCGCACCGGTCCGCCGCCAGAGCCCGTACTGCCAGACGAGCCCATGCAAGCAGATTACATGCAGCCTGCGTCATCCTCGGGCGAACTCGTAGAAGCTGCATGGCGTCCGCGTGGCAGGTCGACGAGATCGACTGTCCGCACTCACTCCATGATGACTTGTAGTAAGTCTCAGGTTCCTCCTACGGCTCTAGCTACTCAGGTTTGTCCTATGGAACCTACGTGTTACACTCAAGCTGTTAAGTATCCTGAGTGGCATGAAGCTATGGACCAAGAATTTAATGCTCTTCTTCAAAATCAGACTTGGTCCCTAGTTTCTAACACCATAGGTATGAATGTTATTGGCTGTAAATGGATGTTTCGCATGAAAAGGAAGGCTAATTGTACTATTGATAGGCATAAAATCATGTTAGTATCAAAAGGTTTCAATCAGGTTCCAGGTTAGGACTTTTTTGATATATTCAGTCCAGTGGTGAAACCCACAACTGTAAGACTTCTATTATCCTTAGCTTTATCATCTGGATGGGTTATCAGGCAGCTAGATGTTCATAATGCTTTCTTAAATGGCAATTTGGATGAAACTGTTTATATGAAGCAACCCCCTGGTTATATTGGTGCTAGTTTTCCAAATCATGTCTGCTTATTAAAACGTTCCTGTATTGATTCAAACAAGCTCATAGAGCTTGGTTTAATCATTTACACACGTTTTTAATATCAGTTGGATTTCAAGCATCAAAGACATATGTCTCGCTATTCTATTTCTCTCAAGATTCAGCACTAGTTTATCTATTGGTCTATGTGGATGTTATTTTTATAATGGGAAGTGATCAGACTCTAGTGACTCACTTACTCTCAACACTGTCTGCCACTTTTAAGATTCGAGATCTTGGTGAACTAAATTTTTTTTCTTGGCATTGAAACTGTTAATGTGATGATGGAATCCTACTGTGTCAACAGCGATATATGAATGATATTTTGAAACGTGCTGGAATGGCAGAATGCAAACCTCTTTCTACTCCTATATCTATTTCGAAAACTGTTTCCTTTAGTGCAGAATTATATGATGATCCTACGCAGTACAGTAGCCTAGTTGGAGCACCACAATATCTCACCATCATATGACCTGATTTATCCTTTGCGGTCAATCAGCTTTGTCAGCACATGCATGCTCCTACCATATCACATTGGGAGCAGATGAAACATGTCTTGAGGTATGTTAAAGGAACAGTTGAGTTTGGGTTGCGTGTACGAAAATCAAGGTATAAGGAAATTCATGCTTTTTCTGATTCTGATTGGGTTGGTTGTCCTGAAGATTGTAAGTCCATTAGTGGTTTTGCAGTTTTTCTAGGGACTAATCTTATATCTTGGGTCTATAAAAAGCAAAGAACTGTTGCTAGGTCTTCCACCGATGCAGAATACAAAGCTCTAGCAGATGTTTGTGCTGAAGTATTATGGATTATTTCGTTGATACGCGAAATAAATGTACTAGGTATTTCTATTCCAAAACTATGATGTGACAATCTAGGTGCTACCAATATGTGTGCAAGTCCAATCTTTCATGCATGCACCAAGCACGTAGAAATTGATTATCACTTTGTGCGAGATAGAGTGGCTTCTGGAGATATTCAAGTCAACTTCATCTCAACAAATGATCAACTTGCAGATGTATTTACAAAAGCTCTGATCTACCTGGTCCTAGATTTTCATTCCTTAGAGACAAGCTACAGGTTACTAGTATACCATGTGTTTGATGGGGAGTATTAGGACTATATGTATTTGAGTCAGTTTATAACTTCTTATCCTAGTCATCCTATGACTCTTCCCTATATATATTTTCATTGTCCATACTCATTGTAATCCCATCACATTCAATACAATTATTACACTTCTCATCCTCGCTACCATCTTAAATAGAGCATAAATTAATATAGGTCACTTGATGTAAATATTTACTAGCAAATATATAATTAGTATTTTCATAGAAATATATACACTCATACAGTAGCTAAAGATCTTGTGGTTGAGTTGTATGATTGTGGTTCTCTTAAATAAGAGATCACAAGTTCAAACCCTGGTGTTGGGGCATTGACTCTTTTTGTGCTTTTGAGAAAATATATATGAATAAATACTACAATTGTAACCAAGTCATCGCACCAAGTAATTTAAGCGGGAGCGATAACAAATATGTTTTGGATTTTCCCCTCCCCTCTTATAAAATTGAAAAAAAAAACAATATTTTTTACTTTTTTAAAAAAAAAATATTTTTCTTAAAAAGATGATCGATTGTATATCTTAATGGGAATTAAGGTATGAATATTTCAAATTCTAAAAAATAATAGGAATAAAATTCTTTTGGGTGACTCAAAGCGTTTTAAGGTATGAGGTAGATATTTTGGAAGTGCAATATAATTTTTTTGGGATACATTAGATAACCCAATTTACAGTAAACTGATTATAAACCTCCAAAATCCTTGCCCAAGAGTTGTTGGAGGGGTGAATTGCACGTCCCGTTAGTCCCCAAGTACCTATTCATGCAGCCCTGCTTGTACACTATGTGCACCCCATGTCGTTGGAACAAAATTTTATAGTGATCGGTTGAACCAACTAAACTAGGCTCGTGGAGCTGCAATATGGTCATTTTACCTACACTGATAATATATCAAGAATAACATAAGCGTTTGGTTCACATTATATCATATAACCTTTGAAATATGAATATCAAAATGTTATATCCCCTTATTGGGTTGAAGGAATTGTGAGGCATCTTTCAGAGATGTGAAATATTTAAATTTGATTTTTAGTTTATTTTTGCCACGTTCATGTGAATCTTATTTCTCTCAAATTTTTAAGTTTTGTGAAATTCTTCAAAATGTTATATTATTTAAAAGAATTAATTTTATTTTTGGTCTTAGATTTATAGGTGTCAGTTGATTTTTTTTTTTTCAAAACATCTCCTTTTGATCTTAATATTAATATGGCATGAATATTTTTGGTCATTTGTCAACAAAATCGTTTAAATAGCGTTAAATACAATGGCATTTTGGTCTATTCAATTTTAAGTGTTAATTCTTTTTTGGTTGTAGATTTATACGTGTATTCCATTTTTAGTCCTTTTGTTTTCAAAATATCCCCGTTGGTCCTAGCATTATATTATGGTGATCGTTTTTGGTCATCCGTCAACAAATATGTTTAAATAACATTAAAAATGACGTTATTAATCACTCAAAATTTTTCTTTTTTTTTTCTTCATGGTAATAAAATTGTTATCAATACATAATTAATAAGTCTATGCAAAATTCAAAAAAGTGCAATTGAAAAAATCACAAGTCTATTTCATGGCAAACCTCAAGTCTTGTGTATAAGTCTATTTCATAAAAATCCACAAGACTTGTGGTTCTATTACCAAGAATACAAAAAAAAAAATGAGGATTTTTAATTGTTAATAACGTCATTTTTAATGTCATTTAAATATATTTGTTGATGGATGACAAAAAATGGGCATGTCGCAATAATATTAGGACCAACAACGATGTTTTGAAAAAAAAAAAAAGTAAAATTAAAATGACACATATAAATCTAGAACAAAAAAAAAAAAAAAAAGGAAAAGAACTTAACACTTAGAATTGAATAGACCAAAATGTCATTATATTTAATGCTATTTAAACAGTTTTGTTGACGAATGACCAAAAATGATTATATCACAATAATACTAGGACTAAACAAAGATATTTAAAAAAAATTATAAAAAAAAAAAAAAAAAAAAAAAAAAAAAAAAAAAAAAAAAAACTAAAAGTAGACTAATATTTATAAATCTAAAACCAAAAATGGAAATAACTCTTATTTAAAATTATTGCTTGAAGTAAATGCCAAATAGCAAGACTTGAGTATCATTGGCTCATTGCTGCGATGGCATCTGCTTCTGTGGAAAAGGTTCAATGCAATATCCATGCCATATTGAAGCAGACACTTGCAGCACGCAGATATTTATTATGTGGTCTGTTTGGCATGAGTAAAAACTTCATTTATGATAAAACAGGTAAGTGATAAGTCTATAATAGGAAAATGGTTATTTTCCTTTTTACTTTTTTTTTAAGAACATTTCCTGTTTACTTTTTAGTGTTTATACTCTTAACTAGTATTTACGCCCGTGCGATGCACGGAATAGATTTATCGTAATATATTAAGAATATTTGGATTAATATGTAATTATTTAAATTAGAACATCAAATATTATATAGTGAATTTGAAGATGTGATTTGAATCATTTATGTGTTTTGATGTTATCATTGCTTGAATTTGAGCAAATATTTGTTCAAATTAATAGCTAATGTGTAGATGCATGTACACATCCAGTGCTTTAACTTTGGAGATTTTATTTATCATTGTTTAGTATTTTTTATAAAGAGTTAATACCATCTGAGGTCCTCCGAGTATAGTGGTTTTGCCACGTTTAGTCCTAAACTTTCAAATTGACCATCTGTGGTCCTTTGACTTTCAAATTTAACCATTCATGGTCTAAGTTAACCACTAATGGTCCTTCAACTATTAAATTTTAACCAACCATGGTCCTTTCAAGAGGACTATGACTGGTTAAATTTTGAAACTTGAAGGACCATGGGTGGTTAACTTGGACCAAGAATGGTTAAATTTGAAAGTCGAAGGACCACTGATGGTCAATTTGAAATTTTAAGATTAAACGTGGCAAAACCACTATACTCGGAGTGCCGAGGATGGTATTAACTGTTTTTATAAATTAGGTAAATGTGCTCGTTCTCTAGCAACTCAGTTATAGGAATGAATTGCTATCTTAATTCATTTGTATATACGAAAGATATATTTTTTTTGTCTAGATATATAGCAATTTTGTCATTTAAAAAAACATAATATCAACGATTGTATTTACACATTATTGAAACCTCTTTGTAGACGACATTGGTAGTGCCAACACAATCTTGTCTGTCCTCGTCTAGAGCTAACACCTTCAGTTCATTAGGACGGGTTACTCGGGTGAAAATATATAATGGTAGAGTATCACTCAATTAGTAATCCTTTTATATTTTCAGTCAATTAGTAATATCATATTCATTTTTAGCCTTTTTTCAGTCAATTAGAATATCAAATGTAGTGATATTTTTACCTAATTTTTGTTCCTTTTTTAATTGATGATATAGATATTATTGAAATATTTCCGTTCCATTTTTAATTTACCTTTACTATTGTTTAAAATATGCATTTACTATTGATGATGTAGAATATTATTATTGAAATATTTTCGTCTAATTTTTAATTTCTGTTCCATTTTTAATTATAATGCAATGATCTGACCATTTCTTTTTTTATTTTAGTCAATTATAGATCATTAATATCCATTTCCTTTTATATTTTCAGTCAATTAGTAATATAAGATTCATTTTTAGCCAATTATTCATTTTTTTTATTTTCAATTTAGTCAATTAGAATATAGATGCAGTGATATTTTTACCTAATTTCCGTTCTATTTTTATTTGATGATGTAGAATATTATTATTCAAATATTTCAGTTTCATTTTTAATTTTCTGTCCACTTTTAATTTACCTTTACTATTTTTTGAAATATGTGTTTACTATTGATGATGTAGAATATTATCATGCACAACCAAGCATACCACAAACCAACTTACTACAAAACAACATGCTTCAAGAATTATCTCTGTTTGGCACACAAGTTCCATTCTCGGGCCAATATCTAAGCACCTAGATTATTAGTGGTGAGAAATCCAATGTGCACATATACTCAGTTAGGTTTATGCAGAACACGACATCAGAAAAACGTCCTATAGGTATGCCCTTCATACTCCTTCAGGTATAGAATTAAGATTGCGTGCAAAGATCAAGTAGGTCTTTATTTAGCTTGTAATGGGGCCAAGGGTCGAGGGTATTAGAAAAAAAAAAAGGGTATTGAATATTATCAAAAGAGAGAGAATGACACAATCATCTATCATTTTTTGAATCCTAGAAGAGATGAACCAATAGTGATCAAGGGAGCAAAAAACAACTCATCAATACTGAAAAAACTCTAATGGAATTGGGGGTCTAACATAAAACTTCAAATCGAGCTAAATTACAAACTAGCTTTTTTTTTTCTTCTTCTTCTTCTTCTTTTCATTCGTTTTTTTTTTTTTACAGCCTTTTCATAACAAACTGAAGAGAATATGAAACTTCATACTCACAAACAAGACCCCCACACTTAAGCTTTTCTGAACAAAAATTACTTTTATGAACGAGCTCCAAAGTGATCCCTTCTGTAGGACTTTTAAAGATAAAAGTTACATTCTCTCAAGGGTGGAAGGATATAAATTTGGCTAAGGGCTATGGGATTAATAATGTGGGTTTAAACAAAGAAAGAATCACAAAAAAAAAAAAAAAAAAAAAAAAAAAAAAAAAAAAAATGGGATTAAGTGCTTAGCACTTATTTAGCAATGAAAAAGGCTCAAAGGGGGACACAAGGGATAAATATTCTTATGAGATGGGTAGGTTTAAAGGCCATAGGTTACCAAAAATGGACGAAATCACTTCTAAACATGTAAAAACCAGACTATACCCGAGGAGTATTGGGACAACTTCTAGTAAGCCAACCAATGCCGGAATTCCACATAATCTTTCACTAGCAATGCACTAACCACTAGATTAAGAATTTAGTCCAATTACTAGTAGTTGACAAGGATATTGACAAGGGAATAGCCCAATCATGTGTCACACTTTGATTTCATCCAAGGCACATTGAGATGCAGCAAGTTCCACCAAAACAGACCACTTAACTGACATGAGAGAGCAATTGCAATTAAGTTCTATGACAAGCAGTTCATTAACCAAAATAGACATGAATCATTCAACCCAAAAGCTCAAGTAAATAACTAGCAACCAAAAGAGCACAAGTTGGATAATTAAGCACAAATACTGTTTAAACGGACAGAATGTCAAATAACAAACTAAATACTAAGCAAAAACTAGAAAACAGTACTAAATAATGAAACAATAAAAGGAAAAACAAAAGAGAAACTACCTTCAGTCCCCCCCCCCCCCCCTACACTTAGAAAAGTACACTGTCCCCAATGTAACAAAATAAAGAAAGGAAAAAGATATTGAAGGATTACACTAAAAATGGCTATTGCAGATCAGCATCCGGGGGCGGTGGTGGTGGGTAATAGCCCTGGTAAAAGCCTGGAATGTACTGGGGATCCTGAAGCCAATGTGGTGGTGGTGGGAACTGTGGTGTGAAACCAAGGAGTGCTTGGTTTTGCTGGTGCACGGATGTGCCCATAAACCAGTTGACCTCATCCCTTCGTCTCCTGAAGTCTTGCTGCCGCTGGACTTCTTCCTAGTATTGCCTCATAAATTCCTACATGTCATAAGGCTGGGCAGGAACTGGAGCAGGAATCTGAGGAGCATTCTCCTCAGCGGCATCATCCTCCTCGTCATCGTCCCCCTGGGGAATGGGCTGTCCTAGCCTGTAGCGGGTAGCAATATAATGCTGTGAGATAAAGGCATGTGGTAGCACCCGGACCTCTTGGCTTTCATCAATAGGTACCCCTGCCAATTGACAAAAGTGAGTAATAAGGTAAGAATGGCCAAGATAGACCCGTCCTTTTGCATCCTCCGTTTCACAGATGTTTCCGTTGATAATTGCACCAATATCGATGGTCTTGTGCTCCTTGATGCAATTGGTTAGGAGCACTTGATCTTTTCGAACATTCCCTTTATGAGAGTTGGGGACGAGTTTCGCTTGGATGAAGTCCAGGATTGCTCGGTCAGCCGGCTGGAAGTACTTGTAATCCATGTGAGAGGTTACACCACCCCTAATGTTCCATTCAGCGGCTGGGTTGAAATATTTAGCAATTTTGTCCAACCAGCCACTCTCCATGCCGCCACACCCCATGTCTCTGTCAAAATAGTCGTCCCCGCGGTAGTCAACGATTCCGTAGTATGCGTTGATGGTCGCGGCGGAGAAGTCCACCTGAACGCCCCAGACAGTGCATATGTTATCCCGGAGGCCGTCTATTGCATTGGCATAAAATTCATGAACTAGCGGGCCAAATGCATCTTCTGGCTGAGCCAGAAATCGTGGTCCCCAATTCCATGCCACTGGGACCGCAATTTCTGCCCCTCTTTCTTTCCGAATTGGCCTGGGAGACATCAAACGCTGGTATTTGTCGGCAGCTTCGGGTGTAACGAAACGGTCAAATGTCGGGGCTTAGGGTTGCGCCCGAGCTTGGGACGATTCCCCTCTTGGCCTCTTGGAGGGTACTCGTGTCTTGGGGTTCCATGTGGAAAGTCTACAAAACACAAGGTTAAAGCAATAATCTCAAGTAGTATAACGTATCAAATATAGCCAAGATATCACAAAAGAGGCAAAGGTTCCCAAACTCTTCAATGTTAGGCATAAAATTCATTTAGGCATTTTATCAAGAGTTAATCAACGATTTGGCCCCTCAATTATTAGCGAATGGTCAATGTAGTCCCTTAATTCCTTATTCATCGATTTGGTCCCTGAAAATAATTGTTTTTAGTCGATTTAGTCCCTCTGGTCGTCTTCCGTCAACAAACCGGCGAGAACTCTGATTTAGCAGGGGCATTTTGGTGTTTTCTTGTCTTCAGCCCTCTTCTTGTGAGACCAAGAAATCCTATCGTGACACCCTGTAAATCTAAATATTAATTGAGGATTAATTGAAGAATTAATCCAAGTTTTCTTTGCTAATCCATTTCTAAAAATCCTGAAATTTAATAGTCGAGGACTAAAATTAGACTAGTCACTTAAATCTATTGAGTGTACCTTGTGCTTCATAAGTTGTGCCCTTGTCCCCTTGTCTTTCCAACCTTAGTAAGGGTAAAAGAGGTTTTTCACCCATGAATTGTTGTTCAAGCTACCCTAGCAAGACATTTCATTTCATTCATTCACCATTCAAGCCTAAGTCTTAAACACTCTAGCCTCTCTCTAAAATAACCTAGCTTATTCTTCAAGCAAGAAGGTGAACCTCCAATCCTTGCAAGATCCTTCACCAAGATTCCTACTTTCTTCTTCTTGAGCATAGGAAAGGGTAAGGTTCTTAGCTTTTTGGTGTTTTTAGCCATCTTTTAGGTGTCTTTATCTAAAGTTAGAATCTTTATTGTGTTTTGGTTTGTGTAAGAAGTTGGTGTGGAAGAAGAGCTCTAGGAAAGGCTTAAGAGGGTGAAAAAGAGTGGTTGTTGGTATACAAAGGTAACCCATGCTATACAAAACCTATTTTCTTACTTAAATGATGATTATTGGCTTCTACTTGATGTTCTTGGTGTGATTTGTGAGATTTGATGCATGATCTTGTGATGATGCATGTTTAGAGCTTGTTTTTAGGTTTCTTGTATGTCATTGCTTGGTTATTTCTTGGGTTCAAGTCATATCTTTGTTGTGTGTGAGATTTTGGGTGTTTTTGGACTTGAACTTGACCTTGATGATGAAAATCCCCGAAGGGAAATTTTGGTGTACACGTAGTGTACCCCGCGGGCGGAACGGCGGACAGTGGCCTACCCGCCGCCCCACCCGCGGGGAACGTGTGGCTGGTGGGTTGTACCCCGCGGGCAGGCCCACGGGTGGGGGCCTACCCGTGGCCCCACTCGCGGGGAACACTTGTGGTTGATGCGGGAATTTGGTCCCCGTGATCCTTTTCTTCTTGGTGTTGATGTTTTAACCTCCCGTTTTTGAATTATTGAGCTATTTGTGAGTCTTCTTGACGTTTCGTATGTCTAGAACGGTGTGTTAGGAATCCATGTAGGATTTGGTGTCTTGAATCGTGCTAAGGGTCCAACCATGTGATTTGTTGGGCTAATATGAGTCTTGAAGGTTCGTTTGGACGATGAGAATTCAAAATTCAATTCAATCAGGAAAGATAGGATTACAGGAGAGTATATCTGAGTCTATCTCTAACTGTTCCTATCTAACAGGTTATAAACAGAAGACTTATTCTAACCACATATAAATAACTATTGACTATAAACATAAATATAATAATAATACTAATATTACTCACACACCCCCTCAAGCGGACGGTGTTAAGGACACAACGTTAAGCTTGTCTCGAAGAGCAATAAATCTGGGCCCTGCAAGTGGTTTGGTGAAGATATCTGCAAGCTGGTCCTTCGTCGATACAAAATTAACCACAAAGTCACCACTGGCTACCTTATCTCGAACAAAATGGTAGTTAATCTCAACATGCTTCGTCCTGGCATGAAAGACTGGATTAGCACAAAGATATGTCGCGCCCAAGTTGTCACACCATAAGGTAGAGGACTGCCCAGAGTGAAGCCCTAACTCTCGAAGAAGAGAAACAACCCAAGTGACCTTAGCTGCCACATCAGCTAAGGCTTTATACTCTGCTTCGGTCGAGGAGCGCGCAACTGTCCACTATTTCCGTGAAAGCCACGATACAAGATTTGTACCAAGAAACACTGCATACCCACTGGTGCTCTTCCAATCTATGGGACAGCTGGCCCAGTCGGAGTCAGAATATGCGTGAATAGAAGTAGTCGGTGAGGGAGTCGGTCTCAATCCATAATCCATCGTGCCTTTGACATACCGTAAGACACGCTTGACCATGCCCCAGTGATCCACAGTCGGAGTGTGCATAAACTGACATAACCGGTTGACGGCATATGATAAATCCGGCCTAGTGATCGTAAGATACTGTAAGGCCCCAACAATTCGACGATACTGCGTGGGATTATCAAATGGCTCGTTTGACGGAGTAACCGGCTGAGTTGTCGAGGCAGGAGTGGATAGGGGTTTGCAGTCTACCATACCATCCCTGTTCAGAATATCATTCATGTAATGACGTTGAGACAAAATGACACCCGCTGAAGTGTCAACCGTTTCGATCCCCAAGAAGAAACTGGGTTTCCCGAGATCCCGGATTTTGAAAGCAGTCGCAAGGCGGCATAATAGGGTGTTAATAAGTGTAGCACAGCTCCCTAGCATAATAATATCATCCACGTATACAAGTAGAAACACTTGACACCCATCCAAACTGTAGTAAAAGAGGGATACATCAGTCTTCGAAGCGCTAAAGCCAGTAGTAAGGAGAAAGTCATGAAGACGCTTAAACCACGCTCGTGGAGCTTGCTTAAGCCCATAGAGAGACCTCTGTAAGTGGCAGACATGATCCAGATGAGCCGGGTCTTCGTATCCTGGAGGCTGTTTCATATAGACAGTCTCAGCTAGATGCCCATTCAGAAAGGCATTATGCACATCTAACTGTCGAAGCGTCCACTTGTTGGTGATAGCCAAAGAAAGAAGAAGACGGAAAGTTGTCGGCTTGACAACTGGACTGAAAGTGTCGAAAAAATCTTCTCCGGCTACCTGATTGTAGCCCTTAGCCACAAGTCGTGCCTTATACCGTTCAACCGACCCATCAGCAGTCCGTTTGGTACGGAATACCCATTTACACCCGATAATATTCATCGTGGGACTAGGTGGGACCAGACTCTAGGTGTTGTTATGTAAAAGGGCATTAAATTCTTGATCCATAGCATCCCGCCACTGTGGATGGCCAACAGCTTGGGAATAGCAAGTTGGATCAGCTGCAATGGCTGTGAGGGCTTGAAAATCTTCACTAGTACCATGAGTCTGACAGCGGAGACGCATGACATGAGCCCGTTCCTGCGATTGGGCCCGACCCCGCCCCCGAGTAGTCGGGACAGCGGGCTCAATTGCCAAAGGTGGCTCTTCTTGAGCTATAGGACGGGGGTCAGAGTCTTGTAGTACTGGGTTGTTGGGATGCACCATAGACTGAACATGAGTGGGCACAATGGGTCCAGATGCCCACGGTACAGGCTGGACCTCAGCAACACGAGGAGCTATACCTGTAGCAAAAGGAAAAATGGTTTCATCAAACCGCACATGGCCGCAGACATAAATTTTTCCACTAGTTAGATCCATGCATCTGTAACCTCGAAAAGATAGAAGGTACCCCAGGAAGACACAAGGAGTGGAACGGAACTCTATCTTATGCCGATTATAAGGCCTAAGATAGGGGTAACACAAGCACCCGAAGACACGTAGGAACTGATAGGGTGGTATTTTCTGATGTAGACAGAAATAAGGACTTTTAAATTTTAGGACGGAGGTGGGGAGATAATTGATGAGACATGTTGCTGTCTCGAAAGCGTAATCCCAGTATTGTTGTGGGACTGACCCTTGAGCTAGAAGAGCTAAGCCCGTTTCGACAATATGTCTGTTGCGGCGCTCAACTCTCCTGTTTTGCTCATGCGTGTACGCGCACGACTGACGGTGATTAATCCCAAGGGACTGGAACGTGGTGTGTAGTTTGCGGTATTCACCCCCTAAATCCGATTGGATGGACTTGATAGAGCGCGAGAATTGTCGCTCTACCAGAACACGAAACACATCAAAAGTTTTATAGATGTCTGATTTTACCCTTAATGGATAAAACCAGCAATAACGTGAAAAATCATCTACAAAGAGGAGAAAATATCGGAAGCCACTAGACGAGATAACTGGTGCAGGCCCCCAGATATCCGTGTATAATAAATCAAGTACATAATTGCTAGAAGCATTTATTCTATCTAATGGAAAACGAGACTTGCCGAGGTGGCAAGTCGTACATGACCCGAAACTAACACTATTTTGTGTAATTGAACAATGTTGCAGAATTTTATTCTGGACCAGATTGTGAGGGTGACCGAGCCTGCGATGCCAAATCATGGGTGTTGCACGGGAACTGACGAACGCGAAATGACTTCGGGAAATTGGCAACTTGTATAAACCTCCAGAAGTCGGGCCTTTAAGAAGCACTACCTTGGTTTTGGAATCCTTCACAACGAAACAACTGTCATGAAATTCAAAAAACACAGAATTTTCTTTAGCAAATTTTAGAACAGATAAAAGGGGAACAGTTAATTTTGGGATATGTAACACATTAGATAGAAACATGTGTTTTGACACAGAGGGGATCGATGCATGGCCAACCCGCGAAATTACTAAGCCTGTACCATTTCCCACTCTCAACGTGTCCGGACCGGTATATTCCTCTGAGGATGTTAACATTCTAGCTTCCAGAGTCGCGTGAGCCGTGGCCCTAGTATTAGGGTACCACGCCTCGGCCGATGGTGCGGTAGTGACCGGAGTCTCGCCCAAAACGGCGACATGTGCCTGCGCGGGTGGTTGCGTTGTATACCGTTTGTAGCAATAAACCGCGGTATGACCCTGCGCCCTACAGATTTGGCAACGGGGACCACCACGTTGATTCCGGCCGCCACCCCGCTGATTCCGGCCACCACGGCCACCTCGCCAGTTGTTCTGCCGGCCTCCATCTGCGTTGCCGTGACCGCCGGTGTGGCGTCCTCCGCTGCCACTGCCTCGGCCAGCGTAGAAGGCCGAGTGCGAACCAGTTCCGGCGCCATCTGCAAAATCATCAGCGAGTATAAAATTTGCTGCTTGCAGATGATCCGCGAGGTGCGGAAGAGACACCGGTGCATGCGCCGTCAGCGAAGCCGCATATGCCCTGTACTCCGAACGCAAGCCCCGTATCACGTACAAATTTTGCTCTGCCACGGAAAGTGGCTGCCCGGCCTGTGCAAGCGCTTCCACCAACAGCTCCGCCTTTCCGAGGTAATCACTGGGCGTAGACGCCCCTTGCCGGAGCGCCTGGAACTGACCAAGCAAGCTTAAGCACCTTGCCTGCGTGTTGGAACCGAGAGCAGTGCAAATGGATCTCCATACGTCGGCGGCGGTATTCCGGCCAACCGCGAGATGCAGAACTTCATCTGACATCGAGGAAATGAGAAGACTCAAGATAGATTGGTCCTGGAGAACCCAGGCTTTGTGCGCCGGGTTGGGGGTTGATGGAGCGGTGGTCTCGCCGGAGGCAGTCGCAGACAGGAACGCTGGCGGACATGGTGTGGTGCCGTCCACAAAACCGATGAGGTCCTGACCTCTAAGAAACGGGAGAAGCTGGGTTCTCCAAAACAAAAAATTTCTTGAGGTTAATTTCATTGAAATAAAATGGTGGGCTCCGGACAACGGATTTCTGGTCGCCGGAGATGAACCGCCGGCGGCAGCGGACGGGGTTCTCTCGGAGGAGTGCGACGACATGGTGGGGTAAGGAGGGGGTTGGGTGTTTTGCGGTGGAGGATCGTGTTTAGGCTGATACCAGATGAGAATTCAAAATTCAATTCAATCAGGAAAGATAGGATTACAGGAGAGTATATCTGAGTCTATCTCTAACTGTTCCTATCTAACAGGTTATAAACAGAAGACTTATTCTAACCACATATAAATAACTATAGACTATAAACATAAATATAATAATAATACTAATATTACTCACATGGACCATTTTGGTTTACCCGCTTATTGAGCATGCTAGTTAGATGTTGTTATACTAGTATGTATGGTTTGTTCCTTCTTATTGGGGTTGACAACTTGTGTTGTTAATCATTTGGTGTTGGATTGTATCCTTCGTTGTTGAGTAATGTCTCATGTCTTTGTTGTGATCTCTTGATTGATTCTTATGTTGTGATCTTGTACGAATCGTTGTACCTTTTGTTGATACTTGATTGGGGCCATTGATGGGCCTTAATCTTCTTGATAATGATGATGATGATTATGTGTGACTATGAATGAGATTGGTGGTGTGTGATTTGAGCTTTGCTCACATGATCGGTGGTGTGTGAATATGATATTTAATGGTACCCTCGTGTACTGAGAGTTCGGCGGTGAATGATTGGCGGTGTAGGTGGGGGGACGACGGTCCCCGACAGAATAAGGTTGGACTCAGAAGTATAGGGTGGCACTAGGAGGTAACGGTTGGAACTGTGATTAGGTCGGGGGTAGCCATAAGGTTAGAACAGGGCATAAGGTTGGAACTTGGATCTATGAAACGTGACACATGAATGTGTCATTATGTGATTGTATGATTTCCTTGCTTATGAGCATGTTTTGATGTACTCTACCTTGTGAGTGGTGGGTTGCATCCTGAGTTGTGTTATCTTTGATGTTTGTGGTCTTGTTGTTGTTGTGAGGATGATGATCCTCGTTCTTATTGTGAGTGTGATGAATCTTTGATGTTGACTTCTTTCCTTGGTTTTAAAATGATATATATATATATATATATATATATATATATATATATATATATATATATATATATATTGTATTCCTCAGTTTCAAATGGCTTTGATTATATCTATCTATACTATGCTATTTAACGCGTATTGATGGGTTACCAACATTATTCGCTGACCTGGTGTTATCCCTATGTTTTACAGGTCTTGAGTAGATGACCAGCGCGCTTGTCGTTGTGGTAGCTAGTGTAGTTCCCTCTTTTAGTTGCTTTGTGTTGGGCCTGTGAGCCTTTGATAGACATGTCCTGTGTGCCTTAGACTTGATATTGTTTGATGGATAGTTGTAGACTTAGCCTGTGCGTCCATGGTTTATGGGTGTGGCATAACGCTTTCCGATTTTAATTAGCTTCCGCTTTTGACTGCTTTGATGATTAGTCTTTATCTTTGAATTTAAGTTTTTAAATATTGTGATAAAATCGAGGGTGTTACAGTTGGTACAGAGCTTAGGTTTGAGCCTAGGACATTAAGAGTTTGACTTTAAGAAGCTAAGTGTGAATTAAGACTCTAAGTTGACCTGTAAGTGCCTAAGTGTTAGGACTTAAGATTCTTAGGACGCGCGGTGAGATGTGAGTTTGTTTATCGTCCGGGTGTTTATCCTGTTGTTCTTGTTTAGTTTTAGCGTTCTCGTCTTTAGCGTCGGGTAAGGGTGCGCAGTTTTTCCTTGTGTCTTACCGTAGCCGTGTTGTTTCTGTAGAATCTCGCCATGGCTCCAACTCGTTATTGTGCCCGTACCCCAGAGACACCGACAAACGAGCAGCTGGCTCAAAACCTACAGCATCTGACATAGACGATGCAGACATTGAGCGACGCCCTCCTGCACAACAACAACCCTCCTCCGCTGCCACCTGCCGAGAATCGGGATGTGGGCCGCCCGTCTTTGCTGGAGAAGAGGACCCTGTCCTGCTTGAGGAATGGATCAGGTCCTTGGATAAGATTTTCGCTATTGTGGGTTGTCCAGATGATCGCCGCGTCGAGTTGGCTTCGTTCTACTTTAGCCACGAGGCCGACCTTTGGTGGGTGCATGAAGGCCAGCGTGCCAAGAAGAGCCAGGGTTTGACTGGTCGGCTTTGAAGGATAAGCTAAGAGAGAGGTTCTACCCGTCCCACGTTATAATTAGAGCGGCCATGTACAAAGAGTTCTTGCATCTTCAACAAGGGTCATCGACTATGGTAGAATACCACAAACGCTTTCTCAAGTTGGCCCGCTTTGCACGGATGTTGGTTACCACCGAGTTGGCTAAGGTGAAAGAAATTCTTTTGTTTGATGCAGTCACTGAGATTCCTTCGTATGCCAAGTTTTTGAAAGAAATTCTATCCA